CTGTTGGGTCCCTTAGAAAGAGCTAGCCTTAATCACTGGACAACCGATGTCCCAAAACACAAATGTTATAAACACCTGAGACCAGGCTAAGTCCATGAGAGGTAATAAGAAAAATATATTTTTTGATAAAATCGTCCAGTTGATTGATTTCATATAGTTGGGAAGTCTTCTTATGCCAAGATAGTGTAACCTATCCCTAAGAAGTCCCTGACTGGCACGTAAGGCCATTTTAGAGGTCCGTCGACTATATTTTTCTTATTAGCTCTCATGGACTTAGCCTGGTCACAGGTGTTTATAATCTTCATGTTTTGTGATATCGGTTTGTCCAGTGATTGAGGCTAGCTCTTTCTAAGGGACCCAACAGAATAGGTATTTTCACTCACCTGAGGACGGAAACAGATCCAGTTTCCGAAACGTCGTGTTTTTCTTAGTTATCTTAAAAACCAGGACGATTGATAAAGTCTGAAAACCCAATAACTCTGTATGACTAATGTTGGGCGAAACATGTAGTATTCATGCATCAGTGGTGTAGGAGATAGTTTAAAATTTAAAACTTTTGAAGGTTTAGAAATCAAGTTTGCATGTAAGACGGTTAGTAACTAACCAGGAATTAATGTCGCTGGGACTTACCTGCTGCTTGGCCGTGCCTTAGCTCAGGTGGTTATTCGCAGCTTTTCCATTTGGTACGATGTTAGGTGATGTGATGTGGGATTTGTGGTGGCCAAAGTGGCATTGCGACAAGTATTCTCCGAGTGTTACGGTTTCCCTTGCCAGTTATCTTTCCATCGAATGATCCATATTCATCATCCGGATCTGGTACAGTAAGTCCACTGGTGACTAAAGTACCGTGTGGACGTAATTTCACACAAATCCAGGCAAAAAAAAACTCCATCTTTTAAAGAAGGGTTGAATTTCTAATATAGCCGCAGGGTGATTAACAAGATATTATCTTATAGAACAGAAAGTGTACGGTAAGGTAAGGTAAAGTTGTCCCTATGCTTAAGTAATTAAACACTACACCATGAAGGCATATGGGAGCGTGGATGTATAGATCCACATTTTCTTGACCTTGGCACTTGTTAGAGGTGCGTGGTCAGCTTCACGCCCCTGCCGCTTTGCCCCCGGGGGAAGCGCCTCCGGTACCCATTGGATAGGAGGCTGGGTGGACCCCAGAGCCGGTCTGGATGACGTCGAGAAGAGAAAATTCTTGACCCTACCGAGACTCGAANTCTTGATCTCAACATTGTATGTACTATAGTACACTTTTGTACACAATAAAGTGTAAGTTATTTAGTGATTTGTTGTATTTGACAGGAATTAATACGATAATTTATAAACGGACGTGCGTTTATTCGACTTTCCTGTTCTGTGGCAGCTGTGGAAGGTTTTCGGTCTACATTAGCCATCGTTCACAATAGTCGGTCTATTGAATCGTACGTGCGACATCAGATTGATCAGAGGTATGTTGCTGAGTAATGTTGCATCGTAGCTTCCTGCTGCACATCGCATATGAATATTTATTCCTGGTCAGGTATTAGTCTTCTTCATGCCACCAAATGGGTCACTTTCAAATACAGTGGTAAAGAAACAAAGAAAATTACAAAACTCTTGAAGAAACACAAATAAAAATGGCATACCATACACGAAACACAACACAAAACATAGTAAAACCTAATCCACAAATAGATAAATAAGAAAAAGTGACATTTACCAAATGAAAAGAATTGATTGCCCACTAATGTAGTAGGGCAATGGGGTCGAACATTTTACACCAGATATATAGAATATTTGCAGGTAATTAGAAACAATAACGGTAATTCAGGAAACTTATACTGATCACAGGACACATATGGAACTATAACCGATTTAATGTACATCATAAAAGAGAGAAAAGAAGAAAACGATTAAATACTTTGGAAAAATACCGCTTGTATGAAATCAGTAAAACAGACTGCACATGAATGGCACATCTATTGATATGTATAACCAAATATGTGAAACATTATAAGAATTCAACACTAGACACTAGCACACGAAATTTATATATAACAGAAGGAAAACAGCTTAGCAAATATTCATAACAGCTACACACGACACACCTAGGGGATCTACTCGTAACCACAGGACACATGGGCACACAGACGAGGGTATATCCCAAAAATTGTACTTACAGACGGAAACACAGTAGCTTCATCAGCAGTTTTAGAGACACCTGAAGATGACTAATGTTGTTACTATAGGATTCTGACGATGGTGTATAACACACAGAGATACTGGGTTTCCGGATTTTATCCATCGTCCTGGTTTTTAAGATAACTAAGAAAATCACGACGTTTCGGAAACTGGATCTGTTTCCGTCCTCAGGTGAAGGAAAACACCTATACTGTTGGGTCCCTTAGAAAGAGCTAGCCTTAATCACTGGACAACCGATGTCCCAAAACACAAATGTTATAAACACCTGAGACCAGGCTAAGTCCATGAGAGGTAATAAGAAAAATATATTTTTTGATAAAATCGTCCAGTTGATTGATTTCATATAGTTGGGAAGTCTTCTTATGCCAATGATAGTGTAACCTATCCCTAAGAAGTGCCTGACTGGCACGTAAGGCCATTTTGGAGGTCCGTCGACTATATTTTTCTTATTGGCTCTCATGGACTTAGCCTGGTCTCAGGTGTTTATAATCTTCATGTTTTGTGATATCGGTTTGTCCAGTGATTGAGGCTAGCTCTTTCTAAGGGACCCAACAGAATAGGTATTTTCCCTCACCTGAGGACGGAAACAGATCCAGTTTCCGAAACGTCGTGTTTTTCTTAGTTATCTTAAAAACCAGGACGATTGATAAAGTCTGAAAACCCAATAACTCTGTATGACTAATGTTGGGCGAAACATGTAGTATTCATGCATCAGTGGTGTAGGAGATAGTTTAAAATTTAAAACTTTTGAAGGTTTAGAAATCAAGTTTGCATGTAAGACGGTTAGTAACTAACCAGGAATTAATGTTGCTGGGACTTACCTACTGCTTGGCCGTGCCTTAGCTCAGGTGGTTATTCGCAGCTTTTCCATTTGGTACGATGTTAGGTGATGTGATGTGGGATTTGTGGTGGCCAAAGTGGCATTGCGACAAGTATTCTCCGAGTGTTACGGTTTCCCTTGCCAATTATCATTCCATCGAATGATCCATATTCATCATCCGGATCTGGTACAGTAAGTCCACTGGTGACTAAAGTACCGTGTGGACGTAATTTCACAAAAATCCAGGCAAAAAAAAACTCCATCTTTTAAAGAAGGGTTGAATTTCTAATATAGCCGCAGGGTGATTAACAAGAAATTATCTTATAGAACAGAAAGTGTACGGTAAGGTAAGATAAAGTTGTCCCTATGCTTAAGTAATTAAACACTACACCATGAAGGCATATGGGAGCGTGGATGTATAGATCCACATTTTCTTGACCTTGGCACTTGTTAGAGGTGCGTGGTCAGCTTCACGCCCCTGCCGCTTTGCCCCCGGGGGAAGCGCCTCCGGTACCCATTGGATAGGAGGCTGGGTGGACCCCAGAGCCGGTCTGGATGACGTCGAGAAGAGAAAATTCTTGACCCTACCGAGACTCGAACTCCGACTCTTCGGTCGTCCAGCTCGTAGCCAGTAACTATATCGACTGAGCTATCCCGGCTCTCAGAAAGTGTACGGTAAACACTAAAAATTCTTTTATCTTTTGACCAAACAACAAATTTTCTCACTCGTATTTTGGAGGTACTGATATCGAATCTCGAGAGCGATATCGACTATTATAAGTGAGGCTTGTCGTGATTTTATTCAGTTTCTCCACGGTACTAGTAAACGGAATACGATATGTACAAATATTATGTTTTGGACATTATCCATCGTCCTGTCTTTATCCAAAAGCACCAACCCGTTTATTTTTCAAAGCACAGTATTTCGGAGACTGGATTCTGTCTCCAAACCTACTCAGCTGGGCCCAATCGATAGAACTAGTCCCTATCTCCGGTCCGGACTGATGTCCAAAAACATAATATTTGTACTAATGTACTGCCATCACAAACTTTCAGATCTGGAATACAGTATGATATATCCCTCGATATTACATTATAATGATTATCCTAAATTGCACTAATTTTCTATCGGTCTCATGCAAAGTGATTATATTAAATTATTGATTACTTTTATATTCACTTATGGCTTATTTATCAACGATTTT